ACTTCCTGTATGTGGTTTCCTGTCTACTCTTACAGCCTTACACATGTCTCCTATATTCTTAAAGCCAAGTGAACTGGTTAAAACAAAAGTAGATTATAAGGCATCTGATACTATTATAATGCATATGATACTAAAATAAACATGTAAATATATTTGCTAGTGCAGATTATAATGTCAATGCTAGAATTTCATATGTTGATAACTGTTGATAATCTGAAGCCAAGACAATCAGACCTTACACCCACACACTAGTCTCGTGCAGACAGTTTAGTCATCTCAGTATGTATCTGCACAACTTCCTGTTGTTCTGAGTCTCTCTGCACAAAGCATTTCATGGACAAAGGTCAAACAGATTAAACAATTATTTGAACAGTTTTGCAAATACATAACATAGCACTATATCATTTTATCAAGAATTTCTTTCTACAAATTCTAATTCCTTTCCCACCGCCAATAAATGTGGTGTCATGTAGCTGTCAGTGTCCACTCTGGTCCACGACCCCCTTAAGCAGAATTAATGAATTCTGTAGATTCTTACATTCATCTCACTCAATCAGAAATTTCTCCAGGGCAAAGGAGGGTGGGGATACAAATTACATGTGATGTCTATTGATGAGCTTAAGAGTCACAACAATGAGGCTATTTAGGGTTTGGACGATGATCAGTTAACTAGACGTATCACGGTTGGATACGTGTTCTCACACCCACTCGGTCCAAGAAGGGTTTAATACCTTGTCGCACACACATTTTACTGCGCAGGACTTTGGCTTCTTTCTCTCTGCAGAAAACTGCAAACTCTCCACCAAACTGCATGTGAGTATCAGCAGAGATGCATAACGATCATCCTTTTACATTTTTTATTGTTTCTGCACAAGAAGGAAAAGTATTAGAGTCATTTATTTTACTTAAAATGTACCAAGTTGTTCTTCAGTATGTTGATTTGTTTAAATATTTTAATGTTTCAATAATAAGCTCAATATCCACACTCAGTGAGTTTAATTACAACTTTTCAAAAAGAAACTTTAAAATTATGACTGTGCTTCCAGATTTAAATTATTTTGACTACATTCTAAAACCTGCAAAACTTTTGGAGAATTATTTGTCATTCTCTCGCTGATCAAATGCTGCACTGCCAGCGGTTACTTTTTCTGGTCAGATTTCTTAGGTTATGTAAGAGTTCCCAGTACAGTAGGTGGCCCTGTTTCCTTTGCTGTATGCTTCCAACCCTTCCTATGACCAACTGAAATAACAGCTGGCACCTCATCACATAGCTCGCAGACGAGGAAAGGACAATACCTTAAGAAAACAACAAACATTAATCAAATGTGGAATGGCGTGTACTGTTAGAAAGTGTTAGAAGACATTGCTTCTTTATGGTGACACATTAATCTGTTCAGTTTAACATTTAAAACTCTGTTGGCTTTACTTTCTCTGCTTATTTCTTGTCCTTTGCTGCAGCATTGATACAATCAACTCAATGATTCATTTAGTGTTATCACCAGGAAGCAGCCAAACGTTTTGTTGTCGTTTTGTTTTAGGAGGACATTACATTAGCATTAATCAGGGATTCTGTTTTTCTTCCAGATTGATTTGGTTGATGTACATCTGTTTTAGTTGGAGATCCTCAAAGGTCAAAAATGCACTTCTGAAGAACTCAGGTTCTTTCCAAATATATTTGCAAGTTTACTTGGTATAGATGTGTATTATTTTTCTAATAAATATCTTCCTGGTCTTTATTTATTATTCTTCCGTACATTTTTTGGTCCTTAACTACTTCAGCATACTTTCAGCTAGAAAAACCATTCAGGTATCAACATGTTCAGCTTTTTCAGGACATGTGTGGATCTATTCAGAATTTTCCTAAACTTCATACTTTTTAAACTAGTGATTTTTAGCAAAATTTTGCCCATTCAAATAAATGGGGAAATTCAACTTCAGCATACTTTCAGCTATTAAAATGTTCAGCTCTTCAAGGACATTCATACTTCTATTCTGAATTTTTCTAAAACTTCATACCTTTTCAAATATTTAGCTTTATTTTGAAAATTTTGCCCCATTCAAATGAATGGGAAATTCTACTTCAGCATACTTTCTTGTTGATTCTTCACAAAAAATTACAGTTTTATATCTTTATGTTTGAAGCCTGAAATGTGGCAAAAGGTCGCAAAGTTCAAGGGGGCCGAATACTTTCGCAAGGCACTGTACTTTCAGCTATCAAAATGTTCAGCTCCTCAAGGACATTCATGCTTCTATTCAAAATGTTTCTAAGCTTCATACCTTTGAAATACTTAGCTTTATTTTGAAAATTTTGCCCCATTCAAATGAATGGGAAAACTCAACTTCAGCATACTTTCAGCTAGAAAAACCATTCAGGTGTCAAAATTTTCAGCATTTTCAGGGCGATCCGTCAGCATATCAGCATCCACATGCATTTTCAACAGGAAATGCATTTCTCTAGTTTCCTACATAGTTTCTTGGAAATAAGTGAGGAATTATAGGGAGTTGATTATCAATTTATTATTGGAAACTTTATTCTTTTGAATTGTATACTTACCCGTTAACAAATTTCACATTTCAGGTTATACTAGCAATGAATCAAACTCAAATGGAAGTATGCTAATTCAACACCGTCTCCATTTTCCTTTTAAGTTGTACCAAATCATATCATCCCCGCCCCCAGGAAACTTCAATGACACTAGGAAATACTACAGTCAGTAAATTTTCACCAAATATAATTATATGCTTGGAGCCAAATGTTAGTTCGCTGTTTTCATATTTTTATAGGCTTCGTTGTACTGGAATGAGCCTCAGCATTTTTTTACTTATATATGTATGATTTTTGTCTGTTTCTAGAGCAAACCATCTCCACCATGTCTCTTCTCACCCACCTGCTGGCGTGTCTCTTTGGTACGGGCTCCTGGGTCTCCGTCAACGGTCTGTGGGTGGAGCTGCCTCTGATCGTCCCCCACATCCCAGAGAGCTGGTACCTGCCCTCATACCTCTCCATTCTCATCCAAATGGCTAACATTGGGCCTCTCTTCATCACCCTGATGCATCGCTTCCACCCTGGTGTCCTGAATGAGACAGCTGTCATATATGTGATCATCAGCCTGGGCACTGTGGCCAGTTTCTTGCTGGGTTTCTTCTGGAAGGACACGGCTGTAGTGGCAGGTGTTCCACGCAGTGTGGCCCTCCTTGCCTTAACTTTCTTCCTGGCTACTGTCGACTGCACTTCCTCTGTCACCTTCCTACCCTTCATGATGCGCCTTAAGCCTCAGTATCTCACCACCTACTACATTGGAGAGGGTGTGAGTGGCCTCCTGCCTGCTCTGGTGGCTTTGATCCAGGGTGTTGGGGTGGTTCACTGTACAAACAACACACAGTTTTGGAACCACACCCTGAACTCTTACAACAGCTCTGTGACCTTTGACCTCCAGGCCCAGTACCAGCCAGCAAACTTCTCCACTGAGGTGTTTTTCTTCTTCCTGAGTGCCATGATGCTGGTGTGTCTGGCGGCGTTCCTGCTGCTGAACTACCACCCAGATGTGGCCAGGGAGCATCCCAGCAGTCGATCCACCAACAGGGTGAAAGAGAGGTCTCAGAAAAACAGGAAGTGGGTCGAAGAGAAGCCCATGATGGAGCCATCCAGACCTGAAAACCATAAACACAGAAGCAGCTTTGGCACTGGTGCTTACAGCTGGATGCAGGTGTTTTACATCTTTGCGATTCTGGCCTGGGCTAATGCACTGACCAACGCGGTGCTACCCTCAGTGCAGTCCTACTCATGCATGCCTTATGGGAACAAGGTCTACCATTTGTCAGCAACCATGGCTGCTGTGTCCAACCCTCTGGCATGCTTCATCGCCATGTTCCTCCCCATAAGGTCAAGGTCTTATGTATAAGCAAAAAAAAAAAAATCTGCTCATAGTTCAGAGAAAGAACCAGTGTACAGCTCACTGTTTCATACAACCAAGATCTTCTATCACAAATTTACCTTAAAGCTTGACAATCTTGACCTTCTGTACTCAGTTTGCATAAACAAAACAGGCCCTTTTACAAAGACAAAAAGTTAAAACCAGAAGAGTAAAAATGTTTATGTAAAAATAAAGCACTTTAAATCTTTAACTTGTAAAATGTGGACAAACTGGCAGAAGCACTCTTATTTTAAAAATAATCTTCTGATAGGGTTCAGCTGAAAATGCACGTCTTATGATGCCCCTTGTTTCAAGAAACAGATTTGTTTGTTTTTACTGTTTTCACTTTAAGAATGAGTTTAGTTCATTAAATTGGACAAAATGTGCAGGAAAAAACAGCAGCCTTTATTTACTGCATATACAGTGGGTACAGAAAGTATTCAGACCCCCTTAAAGTTTTCACTCTTTGTTATATTGCAGCCATATGCTAAAATCATTTAAGTTCATTTTTTTCCTCATTAATGTACACACAGCACCCCATATTGACAGAAAAACACAGAATTTGACATTTTTGCAGATTTATTAAAAAAGAAAAACTGAAATATCACATGAATACTTTCCGTACCCACTGTAAAGCGTATCTGAAGAATAGTAATGTCTAGATGACTGTTTTCAGTAAAGATGAAATCTAAGTACTGCCTGAACCTGGTTGGAGAAACATTTACACCTTGGTTGGCCACAACTTAACCATCTTCACATAAACCAATTTCTTAAATAGGACTAAGATATTTTTATTTTCAGGCAGCAGATAAGACATAAAAAATATTTTTAATTGTTATTAATAGATTAACTGCTTCGCCTATTTATGTCAGAAAATGACAAATGTCCATCATGATTTCCCAGTCAGCATGACAGAAAACAGAAAAGCAAATTCTCATGATCAGGGACCTGAGAACAGTTAAAGCGCAGCATTTTTCAGTCACTTATTACAACTGTTGCTGTCATTAATTAACTTATCTTTTCAGGTCTACCTGAGATTTATAACTGTTAATGAATAACATTTGATTGGACTAACTGGCCTTTCATGTTTGCAAACCTAAAATTACTTTTTTCAGAGTCACAGCTTATTTCGCAGATTTAATCAACACTGTGTGCATGCTTCCACATGTAAACAGTAATACAACTAACAATAATCAACTCTGGCTACAGAATCAAAGCAGTTTGTCCTGAACCAGCCATAAACCTGTCACCTACACCCCACAGATCCCTACTGCTGATGGGGGCCCTCTCAGTGATCGGCAGCGCAGTGGGAGCTTATATAATGGGCATGGCAGCGCTGAGTCCGTGTCCGCTGCTGGTTCACGAAACCTCAGGTGGTGTCATTATTGTGAGTACATCGTTGGGCTTCACTTACTAAAACATCCTACATTATCCTTGCACACAGGTGTTCGGTGTGAAAAATTAGCTTATAGACTCTCCTCTGCTCCACAGGTGTTCGCCTGGATCGTTTGTGTTCTCACTCTGTCCTATGTGAAGGTGATCATCGGTGTGATCCTGCGTGACGAGGGTCACAGCGCCCTCGTGTGGTGCGGAGCTGTAGTGCAGCTAGGCTCTCTGCTGGGAGCTGCCACCATGTTTCCACTGGTCAGCGTGTACAGCTACTTCTCATCAGGAGACCCGTGCAACACAAAATGTCCTTAAAGAATTCATTTGTTAAAAGGAAAGCAAAGATATAAATACAATGCACTACTTATAATGAAGCGGCCCTGACCATGCTGTGTCAGATAGGACTGCAAATGTCAAAGCAGGGAATCAATGCTCTGTGACAAATGTGTTGATAGATGCACTTTGGCCCTCAGGAGGTTTAGAATCTGGGTCCTACTGTATGTCTGACAGCCGTACATGTGACTGCCCTAGAAGGTGGTTAATGAGGATTAAACAACTAACTGCATGCTTTTTGCTTTTATGTTAGATTTGTTGAAAAAGAGAAGACGGGTGGCCAAAGAAAATTATTAGGCAAGGCAGCTTTATTTCATATACAAAGGCAATTCGAAGTGCTTTACCAGAAAGAAAAACAGTAACAGCATTAAAACCAATAAGCATTAAAACCAGATTAAAAAACATTTGACAGTTGAAGATAAACCATTGTTAAAATGAGACAATATACATAAATTGAAAATAAAAGCAAATAGAACATAAAAGGCCTAAAACACAATTATCTGTCAGTTATAGTGCGGAAAGTGCAGCATAGAAACCAGTGCAATCAGGGTAGAAGAAAATAGAGTTCTCAGTTTAAACTTAAAATGATTATTCAAATTTTTTTTAAAAGCTAGAAAAAGATGTTTTACATGTCATCATATCATTTACTGTATGATATATCACACCCTTAAGATAGAATCGTAGAAGTGTTGGAGAAGGAACCTTAAGCATCTTTCTTTTTTGTGACCTGATAAGAGAACAGACACACAGGACAATTAGAGAATTATGAACAAAATAAGCACAGGTTTTTATGAATGAAACACAAGTAACTGTTGTCCATAAATACATAGCTATGTACACATTCAAATGCATGCTTTTGTTTTCTTTAACAACCACAGTCCACCCACACAGCTCTTGTCATTTCATCTGCCTTTTCTGAGGACTGGGTGAAAATCTCCCCACCCTCAAGTTTTGTTGTGGGACAACTTCACTTTAATTTTTCATATTTGCACATAAAGTTTAATGATAGCATTTAATTCCCAGCATAGCTCCACCCACCTCCAACTTGAGCACATATATAATCAAAAAATGGAAAACAACCTGTGTGAACGTGTAGTGTCTCCACAGTGGTGGGTCAGACATTACTAGTTTTTGCGAAAGTTAAATAATAAGGCCTGGTGTTCCAGTTTATCGCAAAGGAAGTTGATGAGATTGATGAGCACTGTGTAGACCAGTCAAGGTTATCCACACCAAACCAGTTTTCTGTGGGCTTGGCTTTGTCTCAAGGGCATCACCACAGTGGAGGGACTTCATCAAACTGCTGCCACAAAGTCACTGTATGCTGTTTCTAGTAAAATGTTAGTTACCTAGAGGGTCACACTCAAACCAAACCAAAGCTATATGCAAAAGTATGAAGAAAGGGGTTTCCATAAAGTTCACGTGGTGAATTTTACTTGACGACAATATCTGGTGCTCAGCACGAAGCCAACAAATGGTTAATGGTTTTCTAAAATATACAGCATACAAATAAAACATTATTTCCATATTGCCACCAGCACAGACACTATTCTAAGAAAGGATGTCCCCCTGATTTACATCATATTTTCATGTGTGTCATATGACCATGAGGTGCATCATTAAGTTGTCCATTCTTTATAACTATTATTTTTATTAATTTGAAGCTACTTCTGAGGCAGAACCTTGCAAAACTAGCTATTAACATGCTGTGGGTCCTTATATTGAACTTTAACTAACACGATTTCCTTATCACAAAATGTTTGCCATTACTAAAATCTCCCTCCCACAGATGCTAATTTCAGCTCTAAATACAGAAGACAACAGACTTGTTCACTAATTCAAAAGGTCTGATTCCAGTAAATCTGCTTAACTTAGAGTTCACGAATTGTTCAGCATTGTCAGATTTGGGAAAATCACTTTTTTGATTTGCTGTTTAAGCAGGGACACAACTTCCCCTGGGTGGAGATGTAAAACAGTGGATGCACAACACTGGCAGCAGACAACAGGAGGATACATGCAGGTACAATTATACAGTCATAAGTGTATCTATCCTTAGTCTTAATCTTTTGCATGAAAGTCACTGGAATGTAAAAACACAAGGTGGTGGTTGAACTACCACAGACGACTTTGAAGGCTCTGGTCATCTTTTCTCTTCCCAGGGTGGACTTCTGCAGCAACTTCCCAAAACTGATGCTGAAATGCATCATCATTACAGTCGTGAACGACAACACAAAGAGCGAGACAAAATCTAAGATTTCCTCTGTAGGGTCGAACGGTTCACCTTCTTTAAAAACAGCTGCGAAAGCAATGGGCACAGAAGTGAGCCACACGATCACAGCACAGACCTCCCTGTATCGGTACTTGCTCAGCAGAGGGTAAGACGTGGGGTGAATCACAGCCACATATCTCTGGATGCAAATAAAAGACAAACTCAGAGGCCCTCCGATTTGTGCGTACACTAACAAAAACTTGAAGACTTGCGTCTGGACAGAGGGAAACCAAAACATGACAATTAAATGCAAAGCAGACATCAAATATTGGATGATGTGGAAAATAGCTAAATTAAAGTTCAGGATGTCTATGCTTGTGGATGTGAGGGTGATCCACAGCAGCCTGGTGATCACCGGCTGTCCCATGAGAAAAGTAACGATGTCGGTCAGGGAGAGGAACACCATCTGGCCCGGACCAAAAACACAGCTCCCAGGTTGGCTGGAGTTCTGGTTGTCTGGAGCCATCAACTTACCAGAGTGCGGTTCACAGCTGAAAGAGTCAAACCACCAGAGAGAAGCTGCTGATGGAGAAAAATGTAAATTATCTTAGTTTGTCCTTCAATACAAAGCTCAGCGAGCTACAGAAACAAACACTGTAAAATTCATCACCATTTTCTGTTTCTTATGTCTAAAATGAGACAACTTTCTTAAAATTATTTAAAATAAGTTTTGAGAAAAGCCAAAAGAATCTCACTGTACTATTGTTAGAAAGTAAAACCTTTAGAGCTTACTTACATTTATAGACAATGATAATTGAAAACATAAAATTTTGCAACAGAATATTGATTTTTTTTTTTTGACGACCAATGTCAAACACAAAAATATCAAAAGTAACTTTAAATATATTGCATTAAATTTGCTATTGTTTTAAACTGTTGTTCTAAAACACCAACCCATCAACAAGTGAAGTCTTACCAGGTGAGCACCAGTGCCACTGGGATGACACCAAAGAGCTGGCAGCATGATAATCTACATTCTGGGTGAAAATGGCATCTGATTTTCCTAAAACACAAAAAGGCAGGTGCGAGGCAGCTGAGCAAAACCAACAGCTGGGAATCTGGCACATCCTGATTTTCATATCAGCCGAGTGACATAATTACATAGGTTTAAAAAAATGCTGAGAGTCATTGCATGTTTAAACTAAAAACCACCCAGTGTCAGTGTGCCCCACAACAACTCAGTGTCCGTCCACCCGCTGCACTGGGGAAGCTTTGTGAAACATTCTGGGACAGTTCCGTTTAGATTCATGTAACTGATTCACACGAAAGAGTGGTGATTTTTATTTTTTTTTTTAAGTTGTACTCAGCCAGTGATATAGATTCTTAATGAAAGGGTGAACTCTGTGGACACAGGAAAGATGGTGCACGTTGTGCGGTTAATGGATGTGGGATTGATTTCTGCTTTAGTACAAACAAATCAAACGTACTTGCAGGCAAAAGCTTGATGGTTCCAAAAACAATCAGTGTGAGAAGAGGATTTTTCTTTTCATGCTTGAATGTTTGGAAAAACCGAAGATGTCTCGATTTAATCACAGAAGTAAAATGCAAGTTATTTTATTTCTGTGTTCAAATGTTGGTTTCTGGTTTTGGTTTTATTTAAGATTCCTGTGACAAACACTCTGCTTTGTAATGTGATGACAAGCAGAGAGTATATTTTCCGACTTCATGTCGACAGTCAGGCCGTACAGCTGAAGAGAGATTGATTATTTATTGACAAATACACAAAATAGATAACAAAGCAGAACTATGAGTTGCAGACTAACAGTAACCTCTTTCGTAAACATTTCAGTATGGCCTCTCTCATGCCCTTCAGTAACATGGATTAAGACTCATAAATACATGTAAAACTGAGCACAAGTGTGTAATTCAGTTTTATAAGAGCACAAACAAATTAATCCACAAACCACAGTATATAGGTTACTATGTAAAAGAAGCAGTAAGATAAACATGGATAAACATAGCTCATGCTAAGAGAATAAATATGAAAATACAAAAACAAACATTAAGGATTTATATATTTGTATTGCTGTTCACCGTTATTAAGTATTCTTTGGATTAAAGAGCTTCTCGGTTACAACGCTGATTGTTTACATTCTTTGAGACACTAATGCTACCTGCACATTGCATAGCTTCCAGGGAGGAATAAAAGTCAAGCTTAGTCAGAACTGAGATGATTTTTTCTTTGATAAAAGTCCAACTAGCTTTACTCTAGCAAACTGTTTACTTAGTAATTTTCAAGTCAGTATTATTTCAAAAAAATGACTCCACATCCTGTGACTGTTTTTTGTATACTAATAGTGTATAAAGAGCTTGGACTGAGCCGTTTGACTTCAGGTGACTTGTCGGTGTAACAGAATAACTACTAATACCGGAGGTGTTGTGGTTAAGTGCTGATTGTTGGTCGTGAATGTATTCAGTTTTATTTGTCGCAACAAAAGTCCATACAAACGACCAAATAGGATTTGAAGCGAGACTATGCAGCTTTTGAAATGATAGCTGCATAAATGTTATAAATGACAACCTGAACTCCTAAGAAATGAAATGCTCATCCGAACGGACATTGCTAAGTTGGTTTGCTCACTTTATGACATCTCTATTTGTGTTAGTGTTGCAATATGTCTTAACCACTTATGTGACACTTGTGGCCAGCATACGCTGGTCAGCAAAAGCTTTGTTATCTCGCTGTAAAAATCTTGTTTTAAAATCTGAGGTTGGTCTTATGAAGCCATAAGTCCAGCCACGTCTGTCCATTTCCAGTCAAAGGCACTTCTCTCTGTAACGCCAGATAGGCAGACTGAAGCAATAAACACACTGTATATACAAATTACATAACTCATAAGCACTGAGTCATTTACAAACCAGAGCAAAAAACACATATAAAAAAGTCTTGGTCCTCTGAAAGCATACTTTGTTGTCTGAGCTGGGGATGGCAGGTTTGGTTGCTACATACTCAATTTAGATGTCTCAGAAAGTCGTTCATGGTTTATTCCTCGGATTACTTTTGAGTAAAGGCATTACATATGAAAAAGAAGGCACACACTGGACCCTGGTCACCTGGACAGCACATTTACATTTGTTCTTTTTGCATGCTGTGAATCCAAGCATGCAAAGCACAGAGTCAGTTCTGTTTGGTGTTTTGGTTTCCTGTGCCACTTTTGTAGGTGATGGGAAACTACGCGTGGCTGTGGACAGAAATGCTTGAGAGGTCGTTCCTGATGATCTCATTGACTGTGAAGAAAAACAGAGAAAAAGATGTTTATGTACAGTATAATAAGTAACATCTCCAAAGGCCCTGAAATCCTTTTTCTCAGCCAGTTTCTCACTGAGAGATAGTGAAGCATTCTAACATTGCTGCTAATGTTCGAATACTTCAGGGTGACACATTCTGCACGCGTGTTGTTCTCTGTGCTTGTCTCATGGGTTTGAAGCAGCCAGGAACAAAGTAATGTCACATATTTCCATACAACAATCAGAATTTAGAAACATTTTAATCAAAATCTGATGACAGTGAGTTGGTGACTTGTTAACTTGCGTTGCCAGGACACTGTCAATAAAAACATATCAAACAAACCCACAGAATCCAGATGCAGCTCCTCAGAGTTTCTGTTAAAATCTTATTAGGTAATATGTAGGGTTTCTTTTACTATTCATTTGCACTTCTGTTTTTGGTCATCAGACAAACTTTAGTCCAATAATCTCTCTCCTTTAAAGTCTGTTTGGCCTCCACTAGCTCACCAGGGAAACATCTGGCTCTTCAGCTTCTATAGTTGCTAACTGCTGGCTAGCTGTTGGGTTGTCGGAGGTTTTAGGGCTGAAAACAGCTGCCTGCTCTGGCTTGAAATAACACTGATAAGAGCAGTGAGAGAAGGAAAAAAAAAAAAAACCATTACACTCATGGGCCAACAAATCGTCCTGTTGAGGGAACCTGCCGAGTTGAGTGACAACTGAATGTGGACTTTTTTCCATTGTGAATAATATTAAAATATTTATTAGTGCAGCTTTAAGGCACCATACTCCACCAGTGTGAATACAACTCTCTGAGGTACTATATACAGGACCTGTTATTTCCTCTGAGTCAGCCTCACTGAATCACTTTATATCTGAGATCCCCAGACCTTTTTATCAGGAGAGATGATGCAACCTCCTGCTGTCTCTACAGGATCCAGGTGCATTTGTTTATCTGTTTTTATTAGCTGTGTGCTTTGGCTGACGGAGGGCTGGTGATGCAGTCGAGAAGACTGACTAAGACTAAACCAGAGGAATACACAAAACAGAGAAAAGGGCAAATCAGTCATTTTTGTCTCATTAAAAGGAATTAAGATGGTTCATTGTTCATGAGCTTTTACTGTTCTTATCTGTGAACTCATTGATTACTGTGAAGGGATAGTCTCCACACATAATCCCACGTTAAGCTGCTTCTCGTATTTTTAAATCAGCCACTCGGTTCAGGTTCAGGCCCCTCTCGTGGCTCTCACACAGACGAGAAATACCCCTGGACCTGGTCCCAAGAATCCAAACCCGTGGGCTGAGGAAGGAATTCCCTCTGACTTACTGGACGCTGGAAAAGCAGCACGGAAACCTGGAATTTCCTTTCACACAATAAAAAGAGTCTCACTTGCATTTATTTTTGTCGCAAGCATTGGAGAACCCTTTCCTTGGCGAGCCAGGACAGGCACAGCCACTTCCAAGTAGAAATACCACTCATTTCCTATCACGGAGACGACGAGGTGTATGTGCAGCAATCCTCATCCCCCTCAGCAGCACAGGAAGCTGCTACCAGGGTAAAAACAAAAAACACAAGAGTGTGTAATCATCACCTAACCTGTTTTCTGGACAACAGATCACCCAGCATTTCACTGAAGCTGTTACAAATACAGAGCACAGAGTGACACAGAGTATTCATGCCGTCTAGATGTGGAATTAAGGTGTTTGGCTGAGGGACTGCTAGAGGATGGTCTCCTAAGAAGTCTGATGGCTCCAGTGCAGCAGCGATCTTGCATGAGAGTGTCACAGAAGCACATGGACACATCCAACCTAGAGGGTTATGTGACTCTGAGGGCAGGGTGCGATCACAGAAACATGTCTTTGGGAAGAACTTGGCAGCGTGGAGGACATTTGTCAGGACAGCGGTGACATTCCTAACCAGGACAGCACAGGATAGTAACTATCAAAATCAGGGATGAATTTTGGCATTCAGATAGTGTTCCTCATGGGCCATACGAGTCGGAATAGATTTCACACAATAACAAAAAGCGAAAAATACGGAAATCAGTCTGAATCACTATTTTGTTCAGACATAAAACTTCTTTTGTCCACAACATTTATGTTGGTGTCTCCTTTGCCACGGCCCACTTTTCACTGTGCCGTCACATTTGATATGGAGGATCTAATTGGAAAAAAATTCAGTCTATTGATCACTAAGTGTGTTAACAACAAAATTCTAAAAATGGGCCCAGCACCAGTGCGACATCTGTATCATGCAGCACCTCTCTGGTAGCATGGATTTACTCACATTTAGAGATGCTGCAAACTACTCACACCATGGGGGTGGGGGTCTTTTTTATTTAAAATAATGTCGTGTTTTTGATTTGATTTTGGGAAAACAAAATAACTTCCTTACATTGTACGTAGCCTTGATGAGGAGAATATACACCACAGCCACAAACAAATGGCTGGAAAAAAATGATTCAGTTAAAAAATATATGACAAATCCAGCGGAGCAGCTGTTCTGAGGTTTTCAGTCATATCACACCGTCTTCATCAGCAGGTGGAGTTCGTCCAGTCTCTAAGAACTTTACGTCCATGTTGCCTGAGGTTCAAAGTTCATTCTTAAAACTGATGCAGTCAGAAGGTCTAGGACAGTTACTAAACTGACCTCGAAGTGAGCTTTTCTGTTTCCAGGGTCAAGACTGACGTCTGAACCTGGGATGAAAAGTCCTGGAAATTTGATCATGATCATGTGATACAGTCGCTGGTTCCAGAACAGCTCCTTGGACTTTGCGGTGAGATTGTTTTCTCATCTGCCGTTTTCAGCTTCAAGCATGAACCTCAGATTAACTGCAGCTGAGAAAAAAGAGAGTTTGGGAAGGCTAAAGCCCATATATCATGGAGCTGCAGTCTACTGTGTGCAGATTATTTGTGGTCATTATTCTATTTTATATACTTACTGTAAATCTTGCATGTCGTATCGTGACAACATTTTTCACTATTAATTTAACACAAGACACAGCACAGTCAGAATTGGGTCTAGCTTTGCTGTTATTTAAGAGCAGGAAAGTAGAGCTTGATATGAAGTTATCAAGGAACTGGCTTCCTGTCCCATGGAGGTCCACGGCAGCTGGAGCTGCCTGATACAGCCTGACACGCTAACCAGGAAACCTCCAACAAATGAGGAAATCCCTAACAATTAGCAGGACAGCGCTGTTTGCTTCATTAAAGGCTGAAGCGCACCAATGTGATCCAGCTTGTAATAACACAGTACTACAGAGGACCCGGTCAGGTGGTGACATATTCAACAGCCTCCATGAACACTGTGAATAAATCAACCAAGAGTCCAGAACTGAGACAATGAGAGAAAATGACTGGGAGGCAGAAAACATCACAAATCCCTCCAGTTCTCTGCCACGTCAAATCCAGGCCACAAGCCACGAGATGTTCTTGGCCA